GTTGATTTTTTTTTTTTGCATTGATTTTCAGAAATTTCAGAATATAACTCCGGAAAAATCCGGCATCATAGCAGGAAATCCTACTAACAACTTCTACATCATGGTGTATACCCTATCTGCTGTGGGATTTTTCGTAGGAATCTTGGTTAAGACCTACTTGATGGTTCATTTTACGCTCAAATCATCCTCACATCTCCATGACAAAGTGTTTCAGAAAGTTTGTCGGGCTCCGATGGCATTTTTTGACACTACACCCACCGGTAGGATTCTAAACAGGTTCTCCAAAGACCTTGATGAAATAGACATCCATCTTCCATTCAACGTTGACGCATCGTCACTGAACATTGTTCGTATTTTCATTTCCATTGGCATGATCGCGACAGTGTTTCCTTGGTTTCTTCTGGGCCTGGCTCCCCTGGTTGTAGTTTTCCTCCTGATTAATGTGATCTTCAACCGATCGTCTCGGCAGCTCAAGCGCATGGATGGAATAACTCGCTCGCCAATGTATTCGCATTTAACTGCCACAGTACAAGGTCTGTCCACTCTACACGCCTATAATAAAATGACCGAGTTCAACGCAGTTTTCAAGCGCTACCTTGATCAGAACACAAGGCCTTTTTTCATGTTTTTCTGCGCGCAGCGCTGGCTGGCGGTTCGTCTTGACATGCTGACAATCTGTATAGTTTGCATAGCAGGTCTAATGGTGGTGCTTATCAAGGGAACTCTACCTCCGGCATTTTTGGGCCTCGTGTTGACGTACTCGCTGAGGGTAAGAAAGCTTAAAATTAATATTATTGTGGCATGTGGCAAATTAGTCCTTAGCTTTAACACTCATCCAAAGAAATTGCAGAAAATAAAGCCTGAGGGAAGAATTTGGAGGTGGATGGGTTCTGGACCCGACCAAAATGTAGGTACAAAGCCACATGTTAAAAGGGAGACAAATTTAATGGGTTCTTTGTTAACTGTAGTAGTATCAGGTTGGAATGGGCTCAGGCGCTCCACAATGCTCCCACGGTCGTTATGGCCTGGCTAACTCAGTGGAGTTATGTGACTCAGTGGTAAAGTATCAAAACGTGGAATTTGAAGGTCTGTCGGTCTGTCGTTCGATTCCTCACAAGGAATTAAAACTTATTTTTTTCCTGTGTACCTCGCTCGTGACAAGACGAAAAAACAACGTTCTCAATTATCTTAGTTTCCTTTTGGTGACAGGGTTTTCCCTTTTTGTTGTATAGATGACATCCTTGCTCCAGTTCACTGTTCGGCAAGTGGCAGAAACAGAGGCGCGGTTCACAAGCGTCGAGCGAATCAGCTATTATATCCGCTCAGTGCCTAGTGAGGCCGAGCTGGAAATCCCGGATAGGAAACCCTCACCTGATTGGCCAAATAATGGAGTGATAAAGATGTCAGGTGTTAAGGTAAGAAGACCGTTGTCCTCCTGGATACGCTCAAGTATTTGGTGCGGTCAAGATATTTTCAGTTCGTGTAACTTTGACAAATTAGCGAAAGAGTTGGAAGATGTGATGGTCAAATGGATAGGCCTCTAAAAAGAAAAAGGTTAACAACACACCTAATCTCAAATTAAAATCGACACAAAAGAGAATGCAATGAAAATCTGATGGTCAAATGGATAACGTGTTTTATTACACGACTCGAGAAGTCAGAGGGCCAATAACTAATCAAAATGCTCTATTGCCGGTCAATATTCTCTCAGTATTGGACCGGGCACTGTCCCGAATGGTCCCGAATGATACCGCACTTGTGTCCCTTCGAACTTCACTCGTATAATAAATCTCTTATTAACCAAGCTTGCTCGGGACCGTACTGGAAGAATATCGGCCCTCGGTCTTTTTTGTACGGACCTCGCTGCGCTCGGTCAGTACTGTCAAGACCTCGGGCCAATATTCTCCCAGTACGGCCCTCGCGCTTGGTCAATAAGATATATTTATTACTTTAGACGGACCTGCGGGAACATGGAATCTATTTGTTTCATGTCATGAAAAAGCAATTTTGGTAATGGTGACGTTATCTATGCGTCTAACCTCCAATAGATCATGCGTAAGAACCCATCGAAATGGGTGTACAATATGATATAATATGATATTAATGGGTATCACAATACTCAGGTATAGTCTAGAAATCTAACAACACAGAGAAATTCATTCCGTTGGACAGGCATCCCCTTACCTTTATGGGAAAATAGGTCTACAATAACAGATTTCTCTGTCAGTAGGCAACTGATCACCTGGGCCCAGTTGTGTAAAGCGCGGATGACGCTATCCGGCGGATAAATCGCTATCCGGACGACAAGTGATAGAAAAACGTATAGCGTTATCTATCGGAGAGAGTTTTAACGTTATCCAACCTTCGAACTACCAGGGCCCGATTTTCAGAAAGAGCTCAGTCATATGACACAACGTCTGACTAATCCCTTTGTAACTCTGTTACCTTTATAAAACACCATGAAACTGAGGATAGGTTTTATGTTGAACAGATGCGATATCGCGATGGTTTGCCTCTGGTGTTGGACGACATCAACTTTGAAATCCGGAAGTGTGAGAAGATTGGCATTGTCGGACGAACAGGTTCTGGTAAATCCTCTCTCGGGGTGTTGCTATGGCGATTAGTTGACCCTGAAGAGGGCAGGATGCATATTGATGATGTTGACGTACGTCAGATAGGTTTGTAGAACATTTGTAAACCGTATTATGACTTTTGTTGTAGAAAAACGTAAAAATGTCCTTCTTTTTCTCGGTCAGCGGTAGATCCCTTCGTCTTCTTTAACCTCTTTCCTAATGAACACGATTGTTGTTTTTATATGTGCATGCATGCATGCATGCAAAAAAACCCCCTCTTTGACCTTGCTTTTGAGTGAAAATTGAATTGTTGTCAAGGATAGCAGTTAGGCCGGCCATTTATGAAAAAAGTCTAAATAGTGGTATTACACAGTGTAAATTATTCAGTCGCCATAAACTAGAGGTTTGGTCAGGGTTTAATTGCAGCGTTTTTTGTATTGGCTTATATTTTGAGGTCATGCTTCCGTTGTCTACCTCTGGTTTAAATCATCCGGCAATTTGTTGAGGTCGTTGTACTTGTTCGATTTTGCGTGGGGCTCGTATTTTTTCATTGTTGTTCTATTGGAAAAAGAAGAACGGATTGCGTTTGGGTGAACTAAATAAACGACTTGTTTGGCTTTTAGTAAACTTTTATGAAAGTTGCACAGCTATTGGGTTTGTCATTTTGATTATTAAAGTTTTAAGTTTAGAGACGATACGAAATGAAAATAACCACTTTTAAGTGGCTTGCAGACTCTTAGAAAATCCCAAAATATTTAAACCATCTTGGATTTGTGTTTTTCCAGGTTTGGAAGATCTTCGCTCCAGGATATCAATTATCCCTCAGGACCCGGTGCTATTTGTTGGTACTGTCAGGTAAATTGAACAAATCTGCAGTGGTTTAGCATGGTCTGTACTCTTATCGACAACGATATTCGTCATCACAATGGTCAAAATGTCGTGGACAAATTTTTTACCACAAAATCGACGTCAAATGAAACGATTCTTTCAGTGCATGACAAGTTGCGTGACATGTTGACGCGAGCAGCGTTGTCTGACTCTCATCGACAACGGCGAATTGGCCAATGAGATTGCGACATTATGCCAATTGTGGTAAAATATACCTTCCTTCGCTGTTTTAGCATTCACTTTTTTCTTTTTAAATTCAATTTTTTTTCTTTTCAGGTACAACTTGGATCCATTTAAGGAACATAGTGACAGTGAACTATGGACTGCCCTCGAGAGAGCACATCTCCGAGAAATGGTAGGTCCTTTCTGCAAACAGAGTTTATGAGTAAAAGAATGAAGCGGCTGAGTGTCCGAATATTTGCATGAGCTGATCGAAAATGGAGCACTTAGCCGAAAATAATTCGCTTTGATGGCAGTTTGTTTTACTTAAGACAGCAACAACACTTGAAAAGCAACCGGCAGATTTTTTTTTCCGAAGAGCTTCTTTTACCTCTAGGCATCTATTGCTCTTGTAGTCTCTTTCTAACTTTGTGAAACTTGAAGAAAGATGTACTACAGGTGAGCTTAAAATTTACGATCTTCCTTAATCTATTCACGCAAAAGATAATTTCAAGATTGCTATTGCTATCAGTATACAGGACGATTCTGAATTATTTATGGCTCAGTGAGCAACGAGTTCTCTGTAGCTCAGTTGGCAAATCATCCGACAGCGAAATCCAAGCGTCTTTCGCTTGAGAGGTGAAACACTATCCATTCCGCCACGTATGCACCGCGTATGTGCTTTCCAGGAGTCGCCCATATCTATAAAGCGTGACCTTCCTTAACTAGGAGTTTAAAAATACGATGTCAGTTCAGTGGCCTCGGCCTCTTACCCCGGCAACATTTTCCCAGTTCAGTGGCACACTGCCACTTTAATTTTTAACCTTAAACTTGTTTGGTTTACTGACAGTATAGTTTCAACTGACATCCTAACATATGTTTTATGTGCCACGCTTATTGTGGTGTATCTGTTTGTATTCATGTTGAACGTTGATGTAATTTACTGCAAATGCATCAGTTTTTGTTTGATCGTCTATTTCAGGTGGACAGTTTGCCTGCTCAGCTCATGGCACCAGTGTCTGAAAATGGCGAAAACTTCTCCGTGGGTGAACGCCAGTTGATCTGTATGGCGAGAGCTTTGCTCAGGAATAGCAAGGTTAGTTTCTGTGAATCAGAACCGAATGTCGTCAGTATCGTACTTAGAGTATATACCGAACAAATGAACATCGCTTTTCGCGTACGCTGATTGGCTGGCTCGGAAGTGAATAGCAAGTATTATTCACCTCCGAGCAGCCGAAGAGACAGAATCGCGCGTCAAAAGTTTAATTTTCGGCCATTTTTCGGTACATCGAAGAAATGAAACTAAATTTTTGGTAGCTGTGTGATATATGCTAAAGCAGTTACTCACCTCAGTGACGTTGAAAGTGGTGTATATTTAACTTGCCGCTTGGCAGCTCGGTAAATATCTACTACTTATTATATAGATACTGATGAAATACCAGGATTTCTCCTTTTACCAAAAAAATATCTTCACCGCGCGCAGTTAAGATACTATTTTTATCTTTCACGTGTATTGGTGTGGCCATGGTTACCAACATAATTACCCAATTGCTGTTTCGAAAATGAATAAAAAAAGTTGTCTTTTATGTGGAAATTTCATCAGTATCTATATAATAAACAGAGCATTACATGACCGCTTGGGGATACGAATTTTATCTTCTCGTGCTAAAAGTATCTCTCACGAGTGAGCGCAGCGAACTTGTGAGAGATACTTTAAGCACGAGAAGATAAAATTCGTATCCCCAAGCGGCCATGTAAATATCCTCTATTTCACCTCTACTTCCCGTGAATAACTGTTAACTAAACAAATAATTTGCATATATCAACAAAGTTGAAATGGTAAATTGGCCACCGTAACGATTACAAAAGCTGACGTTTCGAGCGTTAGCCCTTCGTCGGAGCGAATAGAGGAATTGTGGGTTGTGTGTGCTTTTAAAGGCAGAAAATGGAGCTACGTTATTGGTGGGAACTTCACGTGCACCTCCGCCAATGTAATCTATTGCCTAACTTGCACTTATTGCAAAAGATATACATCGGCGATCATTTCCTCATGTTTCTGTGGTAGCATTCAGTTAATGTAAGTTTGTTTTTTGTACAGATTCTATTACTTGACGAGGCTACAGCTTCCATCGATCCGGAAACAGGTAAAACATGGCTTGCTTTTCAATGCTACGCTCCTTTTTTTTTATTCGTAAGTTCTCATGCTCAGTCACAATGTCAGTCAAGGTTACTCGTGTTTCAGCCCACTGTGGTTAACTTACTCTAACGCAATTGCTTTTTTTCTGCGAAAAAAGAAAAACGTACCCAGTTTTCTTCCTTAGAGCGCAACATGTAACATCGAGGTTGCATCATGATTATTGCCTTATTTTCTTGATTACTTCTGCAAAAGTTAGCAGTCTGCTTCCTTCATTTTGTCTTTGTTTGAAATGAAAATCTGATTTTCTCTCTCTAGACTCAAAGATCCAAGACACGATCCGTAAGTCGTTTAAACACTGCACTCTTCTCACGATAGCTCATCGCCTACACACAGTGATGGATTCTGATCGGATCCTTGTCATGGATCATGGAAAGGTCAGTTTAGAAAAACAGAGTTGCTTGAATCTCTGCTTGTAATCTGAAGTGGTTCGTTTAGTAGCATGAGAGATGGACGAGGTTTGCTAAGGCTTACACAATTTACAATTCACAGTGTCAGCAAAACAAGAAAGATGCTATTCTGGAAAGGAAAAAACGAAAATTTCGAGATGTATATTAACCATGTAGCTCAATACACGCCTATTAGCTAGCCGCTAGTTTTGAGATAAAAAGGGGGTAAGTTTCAATGACACTGTGGTGCTACGTCGGTTGGGGAGTGTGGCAAGGTAATTTTGGTTTTTATCAGCTGAGTCGATAATGTAAATTGGTCATCTTAAAGAGTTTCAAAGCTCAGTGACACTTCAAGCGTTAGCCCTTCGTCAGAGCGAAACGTCACCTTTGAAGCCCTTCACGGTGGCCAATTTAAATTATTATTGAACTCAGTTGATAAAACCAATATCATGATTACCTTGAGAAAGTACACTTCGATCTGTTGATCAATATTTTTTACAAGTTTACTTCGTTTCAGATTGCAGAATTTGACACTCCAGCTGCTTTGCTTGCAAATCCAAACTCGAGTTTCAGTAGACTAGTGCAGGCCATGGAAATATCAGAAGACGACCATTATCTTGTTGAGTAATTATAACACCATAGCTGGCCCAATACACCCATCTGGTGAAGCCAAATCACAGCTTGAGACAAGAAGTTGAGATCCAGATTCCATTTGCAAAGATACGCAGTAGTAGTGAGGCTTTCGCTATAAGAGAGGCCCGACATGCCACTAAATATAACTAACTTTTTTCCAGGTGAACCGATTATAGTCTTGCCACAGCCTAAATCACTCTGATGATAGAAATGCATTGCTTTACTGAACACTTCGTTGTTAAATTCCTCAATCTTACTGCTCCAGAACCACAGTAAATTATCGTATCGATTGCTTCACCTGTGATAAGCTAAACATAACTCACCGGTTTTCTTGTCTCTTAACGGCGGATGAACTCTTAATTCGTCAATTCGGAAAGCAACACTTTATGTGATACTGGCTTTTCACTAGGATTTTTACAGAGATTTATTAAGAAACATTATACACATATACAAAACAATATACCTATATGTACAACATGCTTTTGAAAAATATGAATAGCTTAATATTTTTAAGACTGGATCAATAGCTGGACCTCTACTAGGTTCTAAGTGATATTAAAGTAACACTTCCTAGAAGTGCTTTTTTTTTTGTCACATCATGTTACGGGGCTAAATCTCTAGTTGCCCGTGTATGACAACGGGATTTTAGTTACACGAAAAGTTGATAATTATTTGCATAAAAGGACTCCTGCACATCGTGATAAAAACTGAGCAATGCTCTTCTCAAAGGCATTGTGATCTCAGATACAATGGGATGACTAGTTGTATCTGTGGAAAAGTAGTTTAGTTTACTGTGGTAGGAATCGTTAATCAATCGTGTTTCAAATGCTTTTACATACATTTGTTACCCGTTTTATATATTTATTGATCTACTTTTAAATGTAAGAAAAAAAAAATCTTTGTATTTTAAACGAACTCACCTATTCAAAACGAGTGTTTTATATTCAAAGCAGGGTTTGAATGGGCGGCATTCCCGCCATCTTTTCACCTTATATTCGTATTTTATATCAGCATGTTTTTCATACTTGAACTTTTTTAGTCTCAAGGAAAGATTTTTCCACCGTACGAAAACTGGTGTGACCAGTTGGACTGTAGCATTATAACAAAAGGGGGGAAGTGCTGGTAATATTTTAGTAGTACATACTGTAAGAAACTCAAGTTGAAATGGTGTTTTAAAAAAAAAAAAGGTAGGTGCATAATTTGATAGAAATTGAAGCTGGTGGTATCGCTTCAGTTACTCAGCTGTCGATTGGTTTTCCTTAAACAAGAGATGTGCTTGCGTAAATTTTTTTTTTTTTTAATAATCTTTATTGAGGATATCAATTTCACTGATAACTGATTTACAAAAGAGTCCTCAAAAATTAAAATAAAAGAAAAAGGAAAAGCATAGACTAATATAAAAATATATAATAGTTAGACTAGAAACTATTTACATTTCTTAACGTTTAAATTTTGAGACCGAGAAAAAGATAATTCTGAGAATTGTTAAGAATATGCCAATAGCGTCATCCTTAAAACGACAATGCCCTTCGTTTTGAAGCATGGGAAGAGCTTAAGAGAGAGGTTCAATGCAATGCTTTTTTTTTTTTCAAGATAACCCGGCGACGTTTTCTCGCAGTGTTAAGTATAATCTATATGACCCATACACAAAGACCGCAAATAATTAAGAAATTTTATGACTTCTGCACTTTTAACAGCAAAGGCTGCTTGGACATGCAGCGTCTCTCGGTTGGTTTCGCTTTAAGCGCTGTTTCAACCACAAATGAAATGACAACCACTAATTAGTAGATGTAATTTTAATGACAACCAGCTATCTGAGCATAATTGTAATAAAATTAATTGAAACTGTAATAAGTTGATTCATACTCATGTCTATCTGGCTGACATAATTTCGAAGACTACCTTTGATGTGCTCGAATTTCTCGGCATTCTATAAACTTTGAACGGATAATTTACCTCGACATGGACGAAATCATGAAAACTTACTCTGCTAACAAACAACTGAAATTTTTGGACAAAATGGTTTTTTAGATTATGTGCCCTTCTTTTGTTAGACTATGTACCCTTCTAGTGTATCTTATTTGGACGGTAAATAATAATAATAATGATAATAATAATAATAATAATAACAACATATTTAACCAGGGTAAACCCGTCAGCAGGAGCTGTTATCAATAGGTCCTCTGGGAAACAAAAAAATAGCAAATAATAATAAAAGACCTAAAAACTATTACAATGTACATAATAAGATAAAAACTATAGGAAAGTATATACATAGAAGAAGTATCAAAAGTAAAGTTAAAAGTTAACTACCTAGAAATCCTTAAGCTTCGTTTTAAACATTAATAGGGATTCAAGTTCTTTCAGGTTTGGTGGTAAATTATTGAAAGCTTATGCCCCAGAATAAAAGCACCCTTTCCTAGCAGATTCGGTGTGAACAATTGGAACTAAAAGGTCAAGACTATTACGCCTGGTAATTTAATTATGTGATAACTTGACAAAATATTCTTTGAACATTTCAGGAGCAATGTTACTGACAAATTTAAAAACAAAAGTTGAAATATGCATCGTAGAACGTGTCTTAAGGGACATCCAACCTAATTGTCGCAACAGCTGATCGTGACTAAGGCAACTTTCTTTTAAAACACTTCTAGCAGCTCTTGTTTGTAACCGTTCTAAAATTTTATATCTAGAAGGAGCTAAATTATTCCAAACAAAGTCGCAATAATCTAACTTGGGGAGAATCATAGTTGTAAAGACTCCAGCTGCATGAACCATGAGACTGTTTCTGACCCTACTTAACTGACAAACCAAGCTGTCTAGATACCTTATTAACCGGTCGAGTAACTTGTTCCTTGAAAGATGGTGACTCGTCTAGGTATACTCCTAAGTACTTATAGAAAGGCTTACAATTGAGGACTTGATCTCCTAATTAAACACTGCAAAGATTGTTAAGAGTCAATTTGATTGTGTTTCATAGCAGTTCCAAAGGTTACTTATTCAGTTTTCTTAGGATGAATAAACAAATCGTTCTTATTAGACCAATCTAAGACAAAATTGAGTTCGAGATTTAACATCAGTTCTGCAACAGCTGGTTTGCATCTGAGGCTGCGTGATAGATGACGGCATCAGCATACATTAATACATTAGCAGCCTGTAAACAGTTTGGCATATTTGTTACAAACAAAGAAAAAAAGCAGATGGCCCAGAATAGAACCTTGTGGAACTCCGGAGACTGCTTGCCGAGGCCGGGACAGGACACCTCCTACGAAAACTAATCGGGTACGATCTGTTAGGTAATCAGACATCCAACGATGCTCACTATCATGAATTCCAAATAATTGCAGTTTATCAAGCAAGATTTTATGATCAATAGAGTCAAAAGCCTTACGGAAGTCCACAAAGATGGCACCTCAGTGTTAGCTGACCAGCATCCATGTTCCTTCTTATGGAGTCAGTAAGGAAAATAATTGCACTCTGTGTCGAATACTTACGACGGAAACCACATTGGTATCTAGAAAAAAGGTCGTGGGACTCCAGATGATCCACCAATTGCTGCTGTACAGCCAGTTCAAGAATCTGTGACACCACTGGCAAAATTGAAATCGGACGATAATTGTCGATGTCATCTCTCACCTGGCAGTAAATAATTTCGCTATTGAAATTTGTTTGCCTGAACCAAGTCTTTTATCAGTCTACAAGCCCGTGTAAATGTCTGGTCCTTACGTTAAAAATCAGACTTGGATCACGTGTGACCACGTCAGTTAACTTCGTTTTTCATATTAAGTGCAAACAAACGATGCACAGTCCACTTATCAAACATCAGTTGTACTACGAACTGAATTGACGAATAATTTTTCATGGATATTATACTGACACTCAAAAACTTGTGAAAGGTAAGCAGGGTGAAAAATTAAAGCGCGCGCTCTGATTGGTCAATTCAGCGTCCATCATTTGCCCATGGGGGTATGCTGCTGACGTGAGCAAATGCAAAGACTAGTCTCCCGCGTACATCCATAACTCAGCTGTTGTTATATAAGTTCGCCCCCGAATCCTCAACTCGTACTTTCACGGCAAAACATGACTCTTTCCCAGACAAATCATAATTTCCATTGATATGCAAATTTATCGCCCTAACCAAAACAAAACAAACAACGACGTGTTTCACTCATATAGAAAAGAAATCATTGTCATCATTTTTACCTCCACAGAAGGGAAATTGAGCCAAAGGTTTGATTCCATTTCATGTACTAATTTTATCAAAATTCATGCCCATGCATGTACTTTCATCACTACCACCACTGATTCCCACCAATAACGTAGCTCCATTTTCTGCCTTTAAAAGCACACGCAACCCACAATTCCTCTATTCGCTCTGACGAAGGACTAACGCTCGAAACGTCAGCTTTTGTAATCGTTACGGTGGCCAATTTACCATTTCAACTTTGTTGATAAATCCAAATTATTTCGTTACCCCCACCGACGCAGCCCCAAACAGTTCTTTCGAAACTATTAGCCTTTATTCACTTTAATCAGTGTTGACACCTTACAAATTAATTTTTTTTTTTTCAAGGTGAAAACTTAAAAATCTCACCTTAACTCACCTTCTGCAAAATTCACCCTTGGCTTAGTAATCTTATGCTTGTCACCTGTCACATTTTCATAGTCTTTACGCTTCCCTCTCTTCAGATGGGGGTGTTATCATAAAAATGGACCTATGGCTGAAGTGACTTGCAAGTGAGAAACCTCTAACCAGCCGGTTGAAATCTTCTTTTAAATGGATATTGACCCTAATTACAGAGATGTTGGGGAATGGAACTGTGCAGGTTGAATAACAATTGTGATCCCAAGTGGCATATTTTCAAACAAATTTTAATGAATATATATCAGTCTACAGGCTCATTTTCATTTGAATAACAGCTCACTATAATAAAAATTTTCACCTACTTTAATAATTCTTAATTTTTATTTATTACTTTGTGTCCCTCTGTATCTTATACTTTTACTCGTAACTAATATTATGGAAAACTCACATGTTTTAGTCAAAGGTGGTCACCACTTTGATGTCTTTATAAGGTATCTTATTGTTTTTTGTTAAGACTATAAATTATTTCTAAGATTTGTGTGGCATCTTAGTAGTCACAGCCATCTCCACCATCAACAGACAGACACAGTGGAAAAAAAAAAAATTTTGAAAACCCTACAAATCTACCAGCTTTTCTACTAACAACTATGCTACTATTTTGAGAAATGAAATTTTCATTTATACCTTGTAAACAAATTTAAAATGTTAAAAAACTTCCACTTGGGTTGATAATTTGTAGTTAGAGATAACCACCACAGGTACTTAATACAAAGATGTATGTACCCAGAAACTAGAGCAAGTTAAATCAATATAAGACTGTCCACAATATATATATATATATCTTATTAAACGTTTTTTGTGTAGTATTGCTGAGTATTTTTTTGAGTTGTGCCATATTTTGATGAGCCCATAGGGCAAGTCAAAATACAAATAATGAATAAAAATAGTCGGCGATATGATGCACCTAAACATCTAATAAGTTATTTATTATCCAACATGTCAAATTGTTATTTCAGTGTGGGCAAATTTCGCTGATATTTATTTACGTGGAGACTGTACAACAGAAGTATGCGAAGCAGAATGGAATTAGAGCATTGTCATGTGGCTGTTTCTATTTTCTTCAATAAATGATGAAATTTCATCATTGTCTAACTGCCTTTCTTCATTCAATTTATCTAATGAACTTGGATCAATATTTGCCAGCCATTCTGACTCTTTGTTGTCAGAAAAATTATTTAAATCGTCTGCCGTTTTTTATTGTAACTTCAATCCAATTCGTTTGTGCGATGCCAGAAAACCAGCCTAACCAGTTCTCTGGAGTACAAACACCCTGTGATATTTGTACTCATCTTGGGCTTTATTTGTACTCTACAGAGTGTAGTTGGATAATAAATACATATAATATAAATACATACATTTGCTGTACGTAATTTTTATTAAAGCATACAAAAGGCTAGGTAGTTCTACATGCAATGAAGAAGTTACTAGTCTAAGAGTACTAGAAACAAAACTCTCCTTATTTGTAAATAGAATAAGAGAGCTGGTTAATTTTGAGCTTGGTAAAGAAATAGAGAAAGATGTTTTTCATCTTGTCATGAGCATGGAACAAAGGAAAATTCTGTGTCCCCAGGAAGATTTAAACCCCACACCACTGCATTCTGCACTGCGATGCTCTATCACTAAGCAACAAGAACTCTATGGTGAGCAATGCCATCGCAAAGTGTCATGTATGCATATTGCTAGGATCAGCAATTTTGATAGTGTCATGTTTGTAAATAGAATAAGAAAGATGCTAAATTTTGAGCTCTGTAAAGAAGGTTCATGGTTTGAGGTTCAAGTTTGAGGTTTAAGATTCTGGGGTTCAATCCCCCATGGGGACTCAGAATTTCCCCTTTGTCCTCTTTGTCCTCATATGACCAGATCAAAAACAAATTAAAATCTCTCCATCTGTTCAAATATTAGCTAGAAAGAAAAGCATGCTATGTATTGCTGCTAAACTTTCAACCAAAGACAAGCACAACACAACCCAAGGGAATATTATTTTCTTATAATATGAGTTTGGGGTTGGAATCTGATAAAGATATGAAAAAAAATTTTCTTCTAATGGCACACATATATCATAATCATAAATTTTGAAAATAAACTCTTTTGATGAAAGTATATATTTATTTAACAATAATAACTTAAATGTTTGACTTTAGGCATAACACCCTGTCAACATGAACACCCACTTTCCTTCTTCACTTCTTTGTTTGCTTCCCCCTTTATGAGAATAAAGGACTTTTCATCCCTTTTAGTGGACTCTTTGTTGGCAAGCAACAACTTTGCAATGTCATCAAACATCTCCCTCACTCCTTTGCCAGTCTTTGCAGACACTTCATACAATTTTGTTATTCCATTGTTATTACAAAATTGGTCAGCCAACTGTTTATCGACTTGAGTACCTTCTTCGGTCAGATCAATTTTGTTCCCAACCAGAAATTTTAAAGCTTCCCCTGCATCCTTGTTAATGTCTATGATCCAATTTCGTAGCATTGTAAGAGAATACATGTCATCAATGGCATAGACAAGGATTACAGCTTGAGAATTGTGGTAGTAGTTTGATGTGAGCGATCTTGTCCGCTCCATTCCTGCAGTGTCCCACACATTGATCTGGCAAAGAAAAGATGATGAATCAATTAAGACATATTCTAATTGAAATTATAAATGTACTGTTTTTTGATATACAGTACGTAAAATCATCATATAATCATGATAAAGATTCTCACCCTTGGATCTTGAATTACATGAACATTTTGTACTGTAAACCACAGAAGGAATTGACCATAAATGCTACTTAAACCAAGAAAATTTGCTCATTCCAATCAATAGTCTCCTAAATAATTATTACATTTATTAATATTGATTGCACCATACAAAGTGTAGTGGCTAAACAGTTGATGTGCCATGCTTCAGGTCAAGGATCTTGTTCAAGAACTGGCCAGGTAACTGCGTCGTGGTCTTGAGAGAGACAACTTGCTCTCACACTGACTCTCTACCTACCTAGAAGTATAGACCACTTCCATAAATGGCTGCCGGATTAATATTCTTTTGTTTAAATTTAAATTAGCCCTTCTGGCCTCGCTTGAGATAATGTTAATAATTATTGTTAGCTCAATGGATAGAGTGCTGGACTGTTGTGCAGGAGGTCGAGGGTTCAAGCGCCGGCCAGACCAACACTCAAGGTCCTTAAAATAAATGAGATGAATATGCTACCTCTCTATAACATCAAGTAATGGTTAGATATTCTAGTCTTCTCGGATAGGGATGAATAAATGGAGGTCCTGTCTCCTACAGGGTTAGGGGTAGGAGACGTTAATTTCCCACACACGAGATTGCTGTGTGATGGATGTCCTCCCCAGGGGTGGGATGGGTGGGATTTATTGGTTTGACTACTCGCATGGTTTGCATATGTTCCGTTCTAGTCCTACCCTACTGCAGTAATGCAGTGAAAATGGTTAGACTTAGACTAATGTATTCTTTTGAATTTTGTACTGGAGAACAAGGCCAGAAGGGCTGATTTAAATTTAAACAAAAGAATATTAATCCGGCCGCCATTTATGAAAGTGGTCTATAAAAGGGTCCTGGCACCTGCCAATGAAATCTGGCAAAATACTGGTGGAGGGGGTAGCGTAGTAATAGACTGAATCCTATTCAGGGGTAGTAGAAATACTATTAATCATTTTACTTTGACAAATTTGATGAAAAAATTGTCCAAATCACCAATTCTGCCTGGCTGATTTTCATTTTGAAGAATTTTCCAACATTGTCAAACCTCATGAACATTCATGTGATTTGACAAAAGTTTGTCAAATCTGCCATTTTGGTTACTGTGTGCATTTCTGGATATAAAGTGAGTCATTTCAAAACTGGGATAGCTTCCACTGGATAGGCCAATTGGCTTGCATGCAGACTTAACAAGTTAAACATTATTTTAAACAAGCACAAATGACTTCCTCTCAAACAGATGTGATGCAGAGAGGTTTGGGGAGAGGAGATCCATAGAGATGTTTCACATTTATTTGAATTAATTTACTCTCAGGATTGTCAAAAAAATGTTGAGTAACCCATTGTGATACAGGGTTGGCATCACAAGCATTCAGAAAAGCCTGCAGAGTAGACGGTGAAATGCACTGATTGCCGGCTTATTTTGACAACCCTGTACAGGGTTCAACACCTATCTACCTGTATTACTAGCCACCGGGCTAGTGATTTCTAAAATTTGCTAGCCTGAAAAACAACTTGGTAGTGCGGATCAATTTCCCTCAAGGTCTACTTCCACCCCAAACACGCAAATCTTCCTCTAAAATTAATGGTCTTATAAAATGATAAAGAATGGTACAATCGCTTCAAGTGTGAAGTGATCGTGTTTGGCCATTTGTAAGGTGTCGCAACATTGGTAGGGAGAAGACTGGGGAAGACATTGACCATTATGCATTGAGCCTCAGATTTAGGGATGTTTACGATCGACATGCAAGACAAAAAAAGATGCAAGAAGATGAAAGGGTTATGCCTTCTTTATTGGTGTTATCATTACAATTTAAACTTTCTTGTTTTTTTTAATCAACTGTGAACTTCAAATAAGCTAATTATAAATAATTTCTTTCAATTTTTCTACTAGCCAGGGGGCTATTAAATGTAATTTTTTACTAGCCCAACCAAATTTTTACTAGCCTTGGGGTACCGGGCTAGCAGAGATGTCAAACTCTGCTGTAGGTGAAAGTAATTCTCTTTTCTGACTGAGTAAAATATAGTTTTCAGGTAACACAATGCAGAAGAGGGGTCACAAAGAGGAGAAATGATTTAGTTCACTGTCAAAAAGGTATCAAACTGTCAAAAAAGAAAAAACTTATTTTAAGGGATGAATTACTCATAGTTGTTATTACAATTAGCAGTTACTGATTCAGTATGCTACCCAACTATCCAAATTGAAAACTATCTGATTATTCAGTGGGCACCAAAATGAAATCATTTATCCATCTCTATCTTTACTCATTTCTCAATCTCCTTGAAATGATATAAATAAATCACCCAGAAAATACTGTTATCTAAGTTGTTAATGTTCTCATAATTTATGAGTTGCACAAAGTTACTTAAGAAGGAAAGCAAAACTTTAACATCTTGGAAACACAGGAATATAGATGACAATTTGGGGCCGACATACAAACTTGTGGTAGTTTTGGTGATGAACTACGGCATTTTCAGGTTAGAAACTTTGGTTACAGGGTATGCTTGTTGCAAACTGACCCCTGCTGACATCTGTCAATGCATGATCAGCTCTCGACACATGAGCGGAATTATCATAAGGTTTCTTGTCTTTTTCTTCATTGAAGTAGAATTACTTAATGGTGTCGGGCTTTTTCTGACATATTTTCATTTTGTTTCAGTTGCAAATTGGGAAATATATGGTTTGACTCCATGGGAAATATATGTCTCAACCCCTTGGGAAATATAATGGTTTGACCCCTTAGGAAAAACGTGGTTCAACCCCTCTTGGAAATATATGGTTCGACCCTCTCTCTTAAATATGGTTCAACCCCAGTCCGAAAAATATCGAATYRAMCCCMCTCCCCCTMARAAATYCCAGGCCTTCRRKGGGGGGAGGGTGCGGATATTAAATGGAATGGCCCATGGCTCAGCTGACTTTGGATCCTCAATTACCCAAATTTTGATGTTCACTGTTTAACACATACAATTTGTTTGAGGTTAGCACCAAAAGAGAGAAGTACAAAAAAAAAATGAACGAAAAGAAGATCAGTTCTAGTCTATGCTACAAAAATGAAAGTTTACCTTCAATCGTTTCCCATCGACTTCAATGTCCTTGTTCAGTTTGTCCAGCCCAAATGTCGACTCCCTGTACTCTGAGAACTTGTTGACATCATATCTGCGAAATATAGAGGTTTTTCCCACTCCAAGATCACCAGCCAAAACGATTTTGTACAAAGGAATGTTCTCTTCGTTATTCATCTCGCTTAGTAATGGCGACCTCAGATTAAACGAACACACGACCATTACAGGAATCGCGGGCTCACACAACTCCTTTCTGGGGTGAGGTGGAACCAAAACTTAAGCCCCTAGAATTAAATTTTAACACTTTGATTTCTACTCAAGAATTTCTTTTTAATTTAGAATTTAGGGTATTTTTTTTTACCCTGAAAAATCAATCGAAAATCATTGACAGGCACTTAAGGCGATGTTTTCTTTTAACGCCCACCCCTCTCCTCTTTGCAGCCGTTCTACTGTTGTCACACAATACTTTCTAACAATGCGTGACAACCTAAAGAAATGGTTTGAAAGAGACTACACCTACCCCTACTGATAACTGAATTTGTAAGCTCGCGATGGGTAAGGACAAATCTGAGTCGAACTGAAATGGCGGCATTGTGTGCGGATAGAGGTCCGCTCTTCAAAGTAATCTTGTTGGGCGAAGCAGGAGTAGGAAAAACAGCAATTTTTCATCGTGCCAAGGATAATACATTTAATGAGGGAAGGAAAAGCACAGTGGGGATCGACAGTTTTTCTCTCTACGTAAAAGTTGGCGATCAACAAGTTACGGTATGTAATTAGGAAAATCTATATGGTGGTGTATGATGTAACCATACTGAGAGTAGTATTAATTTTGAGCTTACGGTAGTTAGAAATGGTGGTCCTTTGTGGTTCACGTGCACTGCAAAATGTGGGATTTCTGGATAGTGTTAATTGCTAGAATCGTAAATTTAGTTTTTAAGATTTGTGGCAGATCTGGACACCTTACGTATGACAATCAGCTGATTAGCAATGAAAACAAAGAAGGAAGTTCAGGAGATTGTTACCCTAATCATTGTTATTATGATTATTATTGTTATTTTTATTATGGTTATTAGTATCGTCGTCGTGATTAACATCAATTTTTTCTGTTACAGTGTTTGTTGAAATTCAAAACTGCTTCATGTTAAAAATTACTTGTCAATTGTGGCTAGTGGTAATTGTTATTATTTTGAATTTATGGGCAAATGAAAGTTTAAATATTTTGTTTTCTTTAAATCGGTGTAAAAAAGTCTTGAAATAGGAAAAGTGACTCTATTTGCTTTTGACTTAAATGTTTATCAGTCATGTTAGGATATTCTGCTGAAATATTTGGTGTTTTCCCAACTGGTCTGACTTATTGTATGGATTTAATGAATATCTTACTATATTTTCAGACCTTTTATTGTACCTCAAACATGACCTATTGTAAAGGTCAGTTTTCTTTATGTCCACCAAACACAATTTGCCAAATGTTCAACTTGTGCTATAAATTCTGAGGATAAAATTTGTTCATGCCATGACCATGACCAAAATAACTGTGGCCTGGAATGCTGATATAGTACAAAGTACCCTGATAATAATTCCTCTAATCTGTTATTCTTATTTCTTTGTCCGCAGCTTGGTGTATGGGACACAGCTGGAGTGGAAAGATTTCGGACAATAACCAATAACTATTATCGTGGGTCTCATGCGGCAATTTTTGTGTACAGTATGGATGAACCTTCATCAATACACTATTTAGGCCACTGGATACGGGACGTGGAAGAATATTCTCCAGATGCTATAAAGATACTTGTCGGAAATAAAAAAGACCTCGATGGTCAGATATCAAATGAGACCATTGAATTATTCAACAGTGGAAATGATTGCAAACTTAACATGCGCACATCAGCAAAGACAGGGGAGGGTATTCAAGAAACTTTTAATGCCATTGCTGACCTGTTGGTACAACGAGGAATTGACAAAGACTCATCACCCAAAGGTTTGGAGTTGGAAGCCCCTCCACCCATGGTACGGCAGTGGAAAAATGGTTGCTGTTCATGATATTATACAGTTCTAGAGTCGTCCTAATTATTGGTAGAGGCTATTAAAAACTTTTACTTGCCTTAAATAAGAAGCCACACTACAATATTTGAAGGCATTTTCCAAAATATACAGACTCTCTTTAACCTGAGGGAAAGTGTAAGATATTTTTATTACAGATTAGTATAAAATAGTATAGAATAGAAAAGAATAAATTTAAGCTGAAGGAATGCAGATGACTGAGGATCCCTTCCTTTAATTTTTCAAGTCTGTATTGAGACTGTAGAATGTTTGGAATATTTAACACAGAAATGAGTTTTTTTTAAAAGACTTTGGTGTCAACTCTTTTCTGAATTGTTGTGTACAATTTATCAATAATGACTAGCATAATGCAAACCTGCTTTTTGAAATTATTTTGTGTCAGACTTGAGCACACTCTTCCTGACTTAGACAGGGTGTCATGCAAGCCAAAGAAATCAGGGTAAAAGTTTGTCAGCAAGTTCTGTGCAGCACCAACAATTTTTCTGCTGATTTCTTCAGAACTGCATGTTTAACTTTTTGTCCTCTCAATGTATTTGAAATAGCCCAGCTCTGAAGCAGTTAAATGTATTATGCTTAAGCTCAGTTAGTTACTCTTTTGTTCTGCAGCCAAAATTTAGATAGTTGCAACTGTGGATATCAATGTCTGGTTAATAGGCTGTGTTTTTTTTCTCTCTCAGACAACAACTTCAATTGTTTGTCAGACAACTAGATTATTTGTGAGTTTAAAGTTTTTATCTTAGTACTGTAGGGTGACTGGATTGCAACTGTCATGTAGCAGAGGTTTGTTTCCTTTTATTACAAATATTACCCAAAACATTAATATTATGCCTTTCATGCTATGTGCAAACAATAAATTATTTTAAGTGGGACTAAAATGTGAATTTTTGGTGGATGGACCAGCATTCTGTCCAAGGTGGTAGAAACACTCTTATTTTTTATAAACCAGCCCTACCCACATTTCCTGCAATTGATACAAACGTTATTTAGTTTCATTTGAGTCAAGTGAAATGTGATTTGGTTATTTTCTACCACTGTGAAAATTTTCAAAAGTAATTCTAAAATAAATTTGAGGTTCTGTTAGAATAGCCTTGAATGCATGCAATACTTTTAGCTAATTACTATGTTGGTGATATGTTTTATTGTTAGATTTAGATTATTTTAACATAAAGAGCTAGAGTTTATTGTTGGTTTAGCCACTGAAGAAAGGAACCATAAATGCTACTTGTACATCATCAGTCTTTGTCATACAAAATAAAGTTAGAAAAATTTAAATTATGATCATTTGTGATAATTTTTAATAAACTATAATCATATCTGTCTGGTTGTCATCAGTGTTCACTATCACAATTCATTTTTGTAAAGGAAGATATGTACATATATGAAAAAAAAAAAGACACAGATGATGACTAAGACTGTTGGTTTCTTCCTGTGTTAGCTTTTAAAACAGAAAAGAAATTAACTATTTATTGGACTGAGAGTAATTTTTTGGCACAAATACAAATCCAGGAAAGTCCACAAATTCTATGAAACTTTGAGAAATGTTTTTTTCTCAGATAAATCTATATGTAGAATGATAATTATATTATGTGAAAATTTAAAGTCATTGCAAAAAATCTGTCATGGTATGTTTTATTTAAAAAATGCTGAAAATTCACAATATAGCCTCTACACCTTTAAGAATAGTAAATCATTTGGTAAGACCAATAGTGTAGTTTTGAAGCACTCTCCTGCTTATCCACAAACCTCCCAACCATTCAGATGGAAAACTGAAACCAGTTGTGATGTTGTTGCGCATGACTTCCCTGCTTGGGTCATTCCTTTTTTTATAAATGGTAGTTGTGATTATTTTGCTTTTGTAACAATCAACTGAACAGAGCCCCAATGTCTAATTTTTACATTTAGTAGAATCAGGAGAAGTATTATTTTCTTCTAAGTCAACCATGTTGGGTAGTTTAAAACTCGACTGGATTGAGAAATAACAGAGCAGTTTTTTAAAATAAGTTTTGAAAGTTGGCCAGTATTTCATAGGACTGCTTTACTTTAACATTAGTTTAATATACTTTTGGTGCCCCCTCAACCAACTAGTCGCAAAACTGCTATTTCTTCACTCACCACATGTTCTCATTCCCACAGTTTGCCACACAGTATATACAACCATAAGACCAACAACAACAAAAACAGCAAGGTTGAGCTCTCTTTTCAGTAAAAAATAAAAAAATAAATTAAAATGAAAATAAAATCAACTTTATTTTTCAAGGGTGACACTTGACAGTATAAAATACGGATAAACTCATGGCTCTCAAAAACAAATTAAAAAATAAACACAAATACATAACCATAATGGTATACAAGTTTACAAAATTGTATGACATAGGCACTGCAACTTCTGTCTATTAATAGAATTTTGTTGTGGTAAAGTTTGAAATAAACAGATGGAAAATGAAAGTAAATACTTGCATGGCTGAGCAAGTTAGAACAAAGCACATGTGCACTTATGGTTGACAATGCCCATTCAGTAAACAGATTTTCATACACTGATTTCTTTTCTTTTGTTTTTTGAACTTACTGTTCTTTTTTCTTTTATATTGTAAAACTTCCCCCAAGTAATATGTTTAAAACCCACTCTTAAACATATCTATGAAAATGGCTCTAGCCATAAAAATTTGGCTGAAAAATCCCAGCCTACTATTCTTCAATGTACACCATATATTCACCAATAAATTCATCTGCCAAGTTTGTTATTGTTTTAATGATGGCAGCATTTCTTTCTCCTACGAGGTGCTGTTTCCATTTGCAACTGTATGACATCCATTGATCCATTATTGAAATGAGCGCTGCACTTACTTGATGTTGCACCTCTATCATTAAGAGTATGGCGACCTATTGATTTCATGGGTGTGGCTTTCTTGAACAAATGCTGAGCCACTGACTGTACCATTTCCTTGATACCATCACCAGTTTCAGCAGACGTTCTAAATTCAAGAGTGAAAGGATTGTTTGGAAAACAGTCTCTGACGTCCTCTGCACTGACAGTTTCTGTCAAGTCAATTTTGTTTTGAATCAAAATAAAGCAAGCTCCCTGTGAATTAATTCTTGCTAGAGGTAGCAGGTCAGCTAACTGGTCGAGAGATTCCTTATCATCTGCACTGTAGACAAACAGAACAGCTTGGCTCAACAAGAACTGAGACCGTGTTAACTTAGCATGGCTTTCTAGTCCAACAGTGTCCCATAGGTTAAACTGGAAATTGAAAATTAAAAAATACACATAGTTTGACAGGTTGTACAAGTTTATCATTACTTGGGGTGTAGGTGCAGGCTACTTGAACCAACCACCTACTCTACTAAAAGCAACAGAGGTTAATTGTACCTATTGGCAATACAACCAAGAAGGTCTGTGGTGTTTCCCCTGATAGTACCCCAAAGAGAATGGCAAGGGGTTTATATGAAACTGTATATATAAAAACAAAACTGGTGGCACCACATGCATTACAAAGAAAGTCACAAAAACAGCCTTGAAATGACTGTTGGTGACATAGAAGATACAGGAAAAAGGCAAGGAGACTTCACACATTATTTTCCTCACCTTTTTTTGTGTTATGCTTAAGTTTGATCTTGATATGTTAGGTATTCCTGTTAATGACCTTAAGACCCCAAAATCACACACAGTATGCTTGGATGGCCTGTGCTCTAAGAGAGTCCCATATAATTTTTACATGAGGCCTGATTAGGTTTTATTCTTGTAAATCATGATTTGATTTTTTCCTTTTATTTCATGAATTGTGATTAAATATGATGAGATTTTTTCATGTCTATTTGAACAAATATTCTTTTAGTTAAATGTGACCCCTGAATTAGGAGCTCAATAATGAATGATTTAGGAACCATTCTGTTTTGTGTGATGAAATTTCTGGCTATCATGTACCTATTGTTCTCAGACAATTGTGGTTGGGTTTTGACAGGAGCCCTCCTGGTTTTGACCAGGGGTTCAACTGGAGATGGACTTCATGCATGGACCAATGAAAGTCATAAAACAGACCACTAAAGGTTCTTCAACAGGGGAGATATTAAGACATTAAGTAACTAATTTCTTCTTATACAAGACTGGCCAACTAAAATATTGAATCAACATGATTGTCTCAAATTTCTGAGTGAATGTGTAAGAGTTTTGGACATTATTTGTGATGCATGAAAAAGCCAAATATTTTTATATGATTGGGTTTTAAAAAGGGATAGTAAGGGAACCTCCTCTAAGGGGGGGGGGACACATTACTACACACAGTCACAAAAGCTGGGTCACTGGAAATTATATACAGAACAATGAAAATTCACCAGCCTGTCCCCCTCCCCCATAACAAATGATCTGTCCTTTAACATTTGTACAACATCAAGTAATATTTCAAAAATGAGTGGGAGTGTTTCATCGGGGTTTCCAAACACGAGAAAACTGATAAAAGCATGAGGCCATAGGCCGAGTGCTTTTATTGTTTTCGAGTGTTTGAAAACCCCGATGAAACATGAAGCATGAGTTTTTGAAATTGCTTCTCAATCGTGCATCATTAGCCAAGAACAATATTGAAAAAATTCTGACTGATTTTGGCCTCAGTGGGGTTTGACATTTTATCAAGCTCTAGGGTTTGATATTTCATCAAAGTATAGTGGAAAAGCCTCTGTCCAGTGTTTCATTGGGGTTTCTAAACGCACACATTTGGCGAAATTGGCATATTGTGATTGGTTTGTAACTTGATGAATTATTAATGAGTTTGAGAAATGAAATTAAAGAACTGTTCAAAATCTGTTATAGCTACAACATAAATATAATTTATAATTATTCCTTCTCTGGCCATACCTTAACTGTGTTATCACTATCTTGTAATTTAATTATCACTTCACGCTCATGATTCATCACTGTCTTTTGAACAGCTTTTCCACTTTTCATTGAGCCTGCTGAACCACACATTTGTTGAAAAATGGATGTCTTTCCTACACCAGTCTTGCCGCATAATACAACTTTGTAAGTGTTGATCATTACAGACTCTTCACTCCAACAACAAATTTTCTCACCACCAGGACTAAGATGAACTGATCAAGAACCTGGACTCCAAAACAAATTTTCTTGGAAGTGCATGTAGCACCTCTGTTCAGGTAATCTATGCTACAAAAAGAATTCAATCAATCTGTCACAGGCAAACCCATATGAACTCTTTCATAAATGGTATCAACACTTATAAGGTTTATGAACCCCATTGCAAGTTTGCCTCTCGACACCTTTGTGAGTTTGCAGCTTTAATTTAAACAAGTCCGTCCCAACCTCGACCAGTTTACTCCTAAATCTTTTAACTTGTCTCCTTGTATGTTGATTGAAATAGATTATGATTTTGACAGAAAAGGAATACTTTCTGCCATAGGAAACAAGTTGAAACATCTGGAGGCAAACTGGTAAAGGGGGCAAACTTGTACTGGTACCAAAGGCAAACATGCGTAGTTTCATAGGGGGCAAACTTGCAATTGGGCAAAGCCTCCATAAATCCACTAACATTGATACAATAATAATGCAAATTAAGAAAAATTGAAATATTCTCAGCATTTATGTTGAATCTTTTCTTAATTAATACACAACAACAAAAACATGACATTTTGTATTGTCGTCAAACTGAACAACGAAGGGCGATTGTTTATAAAGAAGTAAACTTTTTTCCCTCTTGCGACTTTCCTCTTCCATATAAATACGCTAAGAAAATTTGGTACTGGGTAATGGTAGTGTGTGCATGCTAAGACAAGTTTTGTACTCTAGGGTACAAAAAGTATGACATATTTTCAGGTTAGAAATAACTAAAGAATGACTTGTCATTCCTTCCAGAAACTGATTAATTAAAAAAATCTCCTTTATACTCTTCCTAACTGAACTTCTGCCAGAGGTTGCGTTTGGCAAATTGTTCAATGAAGAAAAGTATTCGCAAAATACTTGGAAGCATAGTGCTTACATCACATTTCATTTATTTAACTAAATAATAAAAGTTTCATTGGATCAGTTTAAGTCGACTGATCAGACCATCTGTTACAAGACTAGCGTGGTAACAGGAGTCTGTCAAACTTTTCTGAGCACGTCATTGGTTTAGCATAAAAGTTCAGCTAGCATGCCGCAAATTTCCACAGTCGCGTGCCTAAGGTAAGAAATTGTAACTTTCCGACGTGAATCAAAAGTTTCGTGTCACGCGAAGGAAGATAATTTTCTAAAACTTAGCCCCAACGAACTGTGTAATCGCTAGCTTCCAACGCGTTCGCTACCTCTCAGTCAGGAAACCTGATTTTTCGGTACAATTAAGACAAACTCACCGACCTTTCACTACTTTAATTGTTGAATTTCCCATCCAAGGTAAATAACAGAATAACAGGGTCTTGGACAAAGCTTAGCATCCTCGCCGTTTTTCTGAGTCAACGGAACGGTGGACTGGACGCCAATAAGCTTGGTAAAGCTTTCATGTTAGGTCCATATCATGTCCCAATAGCTAATACACATTAATACTAAGTATTATTACGTTCATGTATGTTGCACGATATGTCCTATATAACCTTGTTCTATCAGTTACCTTTGTTCTCCCTCATTAACCCACATCTACCCTAATTTACCCATGTTCTACTACTTTCAACCCCATATACCCTTGATTAACCATGTTCTACCGCGCTAACCCTCATCTACCCTAGTTAACCCATGTTCTCCCACGCTTACCCCAATCTACCATAGGTAACCCATGTTCTACCACGTTTACCCCCATCTACCATAGGTAACCCATGTTCTACCACGCTAACCCCCATCTACCATAGGTAACCCATGTTCTACCGTGTTTACCCCCATCTACCCTTTTTTAGCGATGTTCCATAACGTTCACCCTCATCTAACCTAGGCAACCCATGTTCTAACACTTTCACCCTCATCTACTCTAGTTAACCCATGTTCTACCACGTTTACCCCCATCTACCCTTGTTTAGCCATGTTCTACCACGTTCACCCCTATCTACCTTAGGTAACCCATGTTCTACCCCGTTTACCCGCATGTACCCTTGTTTAGCCAAGTTCTACCACGTTCACCCTCATCTACTCTAGTTAACCCATGTTCTACCTCGTTTAGCCCATCTACCCTTGTTTAGCCATGTTCTACCACGTTCACTCTCATCTACGCTAGTTAACCCATGTTCTACCCCGTTTACCCCCATCTACCCTTGTGTAGCCACATTCTACCACGTTCACCCTCATCTACACTAGGTAACCCATGTTCTACCCCGTTTACCCCCATCTACCCTTGTTTAGCCATGTTCTACCACATTCACCCTCATCTACCCTAGTTAACCCATGTTCTACCCCGTTTACCCCCATCTACCCTTGTTTAGCCATGTTCTACCACGTTCACCCTCATCTACCCTAGATAACCCATGTTCTACCAACTTTTAGAAAATGCCATGACCGATGCAAGCGCAAGTGTGGCTGTTGTCACTGCATTCATGAGGCAGAAGTGGTCCACAGCCACTGATGGCGACATTGACCATTTACGGATCGTCTGGTAGAGATGGCAGACGATCAAGAGTTAGTCATAGATCAGAGGGCCTTGGTGACCTACTCCCTCCTGGTTTTTATATGCAAAACGGTGAGTTTACTAATGTAAAAATTGGGAACAAAGAAAGTTGATAAATGTTTGTCCGTCATGGAGATTCATAGTATGTCCATAGCCGCACTAGGATGGGATACATCGGTTCTATATGCCGACACTTCAGTTCTCATATTTACTGATTAGGTTAATCCATTTAAAACAGGTCGAAGTCAATAAGTGCATGAATAGGAAGTTAAAGCCTTAAGCTTGGTAAATAGAAATAACCGAAAATTACAGGTCAAAACAAAAATCTTGCATTAATCCTGTTCAAATCGTGAATTTTATTTAATCATGTCTCACGTAAGATATGTTGTCTATTAAATTTAATTCAGATTCTTGAGAAGATAGGCTTACGAGAGCTGTTCATCCTCGTAGAGGAAAAAGTTGAGAAAGTTGTGCTGCCAAGTTACGTGGAAGCATCCTATGTCATTGCCGCATCAGTTCAGTTGCCAAAGCAAGTTTGTAATGACATCGACAAAGTGTTGAAGAACTTCTTTGGATCAATTACTGTTTCTAACGTTGAAAACCTAAGTATTGATTATTCTTCTTATTATTACTTTTTAGATATTATAAATTTGACCAGCCATAATTATCACTTGGCTTGCTTGTCAGGTGGCCTCCTTTGTCAATAATAGAATAAGGCCCTCTCGATGTGGCTGTGGGGAAGCTGTAGCCTTTGATGTGCCTTCCTTAGCTTGGCACATGAGGGTAAATGGTATCGACCCAGTGATAACCGATGCCACTATAAGGTATTTCATCACCTCCAAAGTTGTTGGTTGCGTGGGGAAGTCGAATAAGTTTTGGAGCAGAACAACAAGCTCGACATCTGCCCACATAAGTAGGCATTACCTTGATGCTGAAATTTTGGATGAACTTGATAAAGGTAAGGATACACAGTTTAAAAGATATTGCTCGTTTGAAGGAATTTTAATATGACCTCGCCTAAACCAATTGATATAATGAAATGTACATATAGGTGTGCATTGGGAGTATCTGGAGTCCAAAAATGTTATACATTCTTGTGAATTAAAAATACATACACACGTTTAAAAAACGTTGCAATTTGAAAATATATAGATATACCTTTTCTGTTTTCATCTATAGGGTGACAGACGATGCAGGTATGTTTCAAATCAAAGGAACCATACCCTGAAGAACTGAAAGTGAAATGCCCTTGTCGGCAACTGTTGTTCCTTTTCTACCAGTTTATATCGGTTGTCACCTTTTTTTCTTGAGAAGACTATTGCTGGTTTAAGAGAATATTGTTACCTTGAAGGCCTTTTTGATGTTTTTAAAATCTGTTCATAAAACTGCTTTGACCGAACTATTAAAGACTACACACCACAACAAGTACATAAGTACATAAGGCTTCTGTGATAGTTATGGTTTGCAAATCATTGCTTTATTTTCTTGTTTGCAGCTTTTTCATCACTGACTACAAGTACCGCATCTAGTACGTGCATATGAATTCTTAA